AAACCGAGGCGCCATCTGTTGCCAGGTGACCCTACAGCATCGTCTTGACACCAACAGCCTCACCTCATCTTATATGACATGTGTGGATGCATGTAGAGGCTCAAAGTCTTACATACACACAAAAAAAACATTTGTGTGCCCACACTTGCGCCAATCGGAATGCCCGAATTCTACATACGAGACTCGAACCTGGGCACTTTAGGCGGAGGAGTGGCATAGTCAGGTCGAAGTGTTTCTGCAAGGGGGTATAAAGGGTAAAAGGGGAATCAGGTAAAAATTGAAAGCTGTACTTCCTGCAGACGAGCAGACGAGTGGGAGGAAGAGAGAAAAGTGGGCAAGCCTCAAGCCGAGTTACTTAAAAAGGAGTGAGTAGTATGTGATGCAGGGGAATATGTTAATTGCAAATAATTAGAAAAAAACCGATTTCCTTGATCAAACTAGACAAAGATGAAATACGATATGAAAATTATGCGCTTCAAAATTCCCATCATTGTCTAAGTTTCTTTTGACGCTCATTTCACAATTAGACCTTTCAGTCGGGCATACATGTTTAGCAGATCAATCAGAAAGTTAAAATTCGTATGCATTTGGAGTTGATCGTCCGAGCATTCATCGGTCTGTGAAGCGAGGATCCCTTTAATGCACCTTATGACCTTGCAGAGTGTGTCTTCTTCACTTTTTATTGCACTTGTACGAACCTGTGATAATACAAGCACACACACACACACACATATACACACACATACGTATACACTCCAAATAAGATAAAGTCGCCAGATCGAGTCCGGACTTGAGACATTCTTGGCCATAAAGACGTTAAACCACGTTCTCTGACCTCTCGTCTCCCCGATTATTTCTTCTAGCAAACAAAATCACACACACACACACACATGTCTATACCTACACACTCCAAATAAGATGATGCTGTCAGTTCGAGCCCGGAATTCAGATCGTCCTGACAGTGAGAAAGTTTGGCCACGTCTTTTGACCTTTCGCCTCTACGATTGGCCGTGCAGCCAAGTCCAAACTCACACAAACATGCACACAGAAATATGGACACTCTTTCTGTGAACAGCGATGTCTCTTGGCCGAGGACTCATGACGTCGCGAAAGGTTCGTGACAAGTCGAGGCCTCGAGGACCTTGTCCGGAGTCAAAGATCACCCTGAAACTCGTCTCGTAGCTTCCGCCCCCCCACCCCCCTCCCCAACTGGCCAGTTGCCGGTGCTCAGATTGTCATGACGCCCGACAACCGCTCCATCGCGGCGTCCGGTTGGCCCACCGTCCAGACGTCCTACGAACACCATTTTACTCCACACACACACACTTTCTTCAACCCCTTTCCTCGACATTCTTCTCCTCCATATTGTCTCATTCACACACCTACTCCCCACCCCCAACTGCTCGTCACTATGCCGACGATCTACAGCAGACGAGGCAGCCATGCCAGTGTCAGAGTGGCCAGTGTGAATGCGATCAGCAAAGAGGACAGACGAGGGCATGGCTGACAAACAGTAGTACCGAAATCACACTACAGTCACACCTCCCAGGGCAACTTGTCAGATAGGCTTAAAGACGACGCGACTTGTGTAAATAAGATTCGCTGCGTTAGGTAGCGCTACAATACATCCGCGTATGCATGTGCGTGTGCG